TATTTGCGGATTTCCATTGTCGAGACTGTTTCCTGGGGATCTCTCGGTTCCATTAGCGCGACGGGAGTGTATCACTTGCCGACTGCCGTAAAATTAAGCGATGTGGAAAAGGCGCCGTTGTTATTGATGTGACACGATGCCGAGTGCTTCTTGTTGTTTTTATTACGATAAGTGATACCTTGGAGAGTTCGTTTATTCGTAAAAGCCTTATTCTATGGTTGATTACGCTGTAGAAGATATAAATCTTTAAATTTGTAATAACGCAAATATCATTTGGTTTTCAAAATTGTTAATAAAATGAGAACATTTAAAGATATTATTATTTGAATCAAAGAGAAAAACTGTAAAAAACAATTTTTTAATAACCAAAAATCCACATGGCAAAATTGAACCTAATTATTCTGAATAATACAATACTGAAGCAACACGATAGCTTACAAAGAAATTTTAAAGTTGTATTTTTAGAGATAGAAAACTGGAAACGCTACTAGTAGACAGTGATTTTAACACATGCCACAACTTGATCTATAATATAAAATATTATGAAAATAAATGTTTTCTTTTAAGTCACAGTCAGTGTACTATAAAGAAGAAAACACGAGAGATATTTGAAACAAATTTTAATTCTGTGAAAACTTTAATTGTGTTTTCCAGATAAAATTATTTTTATAACATTTTGTTTGCCATGTTTGTGAATATACATGTAATTATTAATGATACCGTAGTTTTTGTTTGTTTTCTGGCAATAATCGCTCTATCGTTTCGGTTTAATCCTTATAACCGTCATATACACAATAGCGGCAATTAATAAACCATCATTAAAACGCACCGCAAATTTGTGCAATTGAAAGAGTAATTATTTACCTGCGTTATTCACCGGATAAAAATCCGCAAAGTGCTCTAATTAAAACGAAATTGTAGCGAATAATTACTTCCTGCCATGCGAGCGTATTTCGATAATTTTCAACGTGCTGTTTATTACCTACCTGCATCAGCGTCGGCGTACAATTGCAGATAAATGTTATTAGTTGGGCGCTTTTATCAATTATGGGACGAATTAGACTTCGACAGCGATGGGATACATTTCACCCCATTTACATCTCGTGTGCGCCGAAGTCCCAAACTAATTTTGGACATAATCCTCGGTGTCACACGCAGCTGGAAAGCAATGAAATATATTATTTATTTCTCTTCTCTTTATTCTAGGCTGAAAAACACTATTATATTTCGGATTTATATATTTATTAGAAATATGATATATATGTAATAATTTTTTTTTTTCCGAAACTTATTGTGTCGTTCTCAAGATTTCTGCCGAAAAAGAAGTTAACGATACAAAGGCCGAGATAGCGCGAGGCGCGGGAGCGAAAAGACGCGCGAACAAATTCTCGTGCTGGCTAATTAATACCCCGACCACAATGGCGGAAAACGGCGCGGCTCCTCGGCCTTAAAACCAAATTGTTGCTCGGGCTCCTTGCTTCCCTGTCTCGGAACGATGCGACGCGGGCCTGTATTATGCTTAGGGTTCCGCCATTATGTTTCCCCGGTTTTGGCGAAACAATGCAGCGTATAAGCGGCCGTCGCGCCGCCGCGCCGTGTCCCGACGTAATATTACGTCGGCTGATTTATATCGCCCGTTCTCTGCGACCTGCCCTGCAACATTACATTCACTCACTAGAGGCGATCGGAATTATTATGATGTAATAAACGACCGGGACGGACGCCGAAAGAATTCCACGTGCGAAGGAAGTCTCTCTTCCGCGTGCAAAAGATAAGAGATTGTCGACGCGCCGGATCAACACGCGTAAGATCGTACGTACGTGAAAGAATTCAAATATTAGATCAAGGAGAATTTGAAATGGCAGATCAAGCCTTTATTATTTTAATTATGATTATATTTTAAACAATGAAATATTTCATTTATAATACATTATTTTCGCGATTGTGTACCGTGTATAAGAATAATTATTTCTCGAATCTTCATCTACGTATCTTGCAGGACAGCAGGACTATCGCGGAATCGTGACAACTCGTGTAATCACGCGCCACATCAGAGCGACATAAAGTTCTTACGCGGGATAGATCACTCGAGCTGCCTTCTTGTTAAACAAAACAAGCATTCGCCGTATACAGAGCAAAGAGCTCTCGGTCGTTTTAATATTTCCGCGCAATATCGCCGCCGTCATTTACGAAACGCCGGATAGTTTGTATAATGCAACGGCAGGATGCGTCTGTATATTTGTGCAATATCCCTTTACGAAGTTCTTTTACGGACGACGAGGAAAGTTTCTTTGCGCGGAAAGACATCAGGCGGATTCGGTCGGTGCTGTTCCAAATACGATTACCATAATTCATATTTAACGTTTAATTAGTACGCTTAGTAGATTAATTTTATTAGATTAATAATATTAGATTAATATTAACATGAGAAATATATTAATTAATTCATTAATCGAAATTTTATAAATTTGTGACCGCTTCCCGAATATGATCCTTCACATAGAATAATACTGTGTTGCTGTAGGATTAACATCGCAATGTCGATGAGATTTACCGAATGTCAAATACGTTGATTATATTTCAACAATTTCTGCGTTAAATAATGACAATGAAATGCAATATAACGTAATTAATAGCAAACGAAGAGCGCCTAATTATTATTTTATAGCCTATAATTAAAATATTGTTGAGATTCTTATTAAATAGCAATATTACGAGGTGTTCAATGCCTCATAATTTATATTTAAAAAAGATAAAATAGGATTTTTTTGAAAATGAGAATTCGGAATGTCAATATACAGATCTACATTTTACACGAAGTGTCATTCAATCGAACACGAGCGTGGGTTGCGTGAAAACGCGTCATAATTTCTTCCCTCTTTTTCTCGAGATCCTTTTAAACATGTCGCCCGTATTTCCAAAGTCAAATCTCAGATAGATTTGTCAACGCTCAACGTACGACATGGGCGATCGTTGCTACGTCGTTGCCGACCTCGCAATTTTGCATGAAGCTAAACGTGAAATTAAATCCGGGCGTGTAAACGACCGTCATGTATACCCTGTCACCAGTTACAAACGCGAGTCACGAATTCGTAGCACGGGGACGCGTCTTTCGCTTTTATTTACGGTTCGCCTGCTCGCACCGCGAAGCCGTCGATTTAATTCCAAAAGTTTCCGGCGTCGCGGCGTCGCGACGCCGGGAAAGAGAACCGCCCCGTCCTAAGGCGACACGTGTCCGTAATGTCTGCGTAACACGTGAGACTTCTTGAATTTTGATTGCGTCGATACTATTTTTTTGAACGGCGGTGAAAAGAAAAGAATCTTAAAACGAGTTCAATCAACGCTTACTGTTCGGTAGTATAAAGCTTTTTATGCATTGATTTTTATGAAATTCGTCTTTACAAATTCTTTAATCCATCCTACAGTCAATATATTTATTAACTTCAAGTAAATTAAAAAAATTTCTAATTTGAGATGATTTTATTTCATCACAACGTTTGTTTATTGAAATTAAAACTTTTCCATTAAATCTCAAAAGTTTGATAAATTTTGATAGGCTTAGTGATATTCGATTAAACTTCTACAGACGGCTTATTCCCATTAGGGTTTGCAAGTTGATCAAAGAATTCCTACGCGAAAATAGAATGTTTTTATTTATACAGCGCATTTTTTATTCACGAGGGAAATGTCATGTCGCATAAACTATAAACGCGGCTCCTATCAGAACAAAGATATTAATACACTGCACACGCAACGCGGTGCATTCGTGCGTGCTGCGAGCGTGCGCGCGTGCCCGCGATTTTTTTCCATTTATTTCCCCATGTCTTTTCTCTTTCGCCGGACGTTTTTTACAACCACTTGCGGGTCGACATCTTTATCGCCGCCGTTATACGGGTTCAATGCACCTTTTGGTTACTACCGCCTCGCTGATTAACCCTTTCAACGCCGATGGCATTGCGCGGAGAGTTGCGCAATTTATGCGCATACATTTCACTTGCGCGCCCGATTTCGCCGTTTTCTTAGTCATCCCTTATTCTCCTCGAGGTCAGGCACCGGGGAGGAGACGAATGCAGTAGGGTGTGCTTAGCGTGATTAAGGTAAATGAGTTCTATAGTCGCGTTCCATCATGTAACTTTTGTGTTGCGTGATTTTGAGCAGACACGCGGTAGACATTAACACATAGTTTATGTTTATTATTTATATACATATTACATATATATGTTTGTTATTTGATCCGCTAGTTTGTACGTACATTACCTGTAAATATTATTCAAATGCTTAGAACATGTATATAAATGGAATATTTATAAAAGAATGTTTACAATACCAAAATTATCAAATTTCATGAAAACATGTTTAAAATTTGCGACTTGTAATGTCTAACGAGGATTTCTATCTGATGGATTTATCGTCTGCGTTTGAAATAAATCTCAGTCGCTCTATATACAAAAAAATGTTTTTATGGTAGTATCGATGAGAAATAAATACCTAATAATAATAACGTATCTTGTGTCGTATGAAAGAAATTAATTTGCTATTGATAATATTAACCATCGCTCGAGTATTATCAAGATTTGTTAATAAACGCAGTATTTAAATCGCAAGGAAAAAATGATTTCTTTTTTTAACACAGCACAAGGTTGGAATACGTATTTCCATACGAAACACGCATCACTTATGTATTGCGTGACTAATTCATCACACGTACCCTAACACTCCGCGTAGTCCGAGTAATCTTACTTGTTTTAACACACTGTGGTTCACCCTTTCTCTCCCTCTTTAATATTTTCCCGTATTTTTGCTACGACTGCCCGGTCATTTACAATTCTTTTGTGCGTGGAAAAAAAGCCACTCAAAGGAATTGCACGAGAAAACGTTTCGCGACAACAAACTTTAAGCGGGATAATTTGTTAGCGAACTATTATCTTAAAAATAGCAAATAAATTATGGATCAGCTAGAATAAAAAAATTATTGTTGATTTCCATTTTTTTTGTTGCAGCTTGGTTTCTTCACGTATTACACAGTGGCGATGGGTGAGGTAAATCCCTCCGGGCCGGTGCCGATCGACAGTGTCTTCATTTACAGACCGGACAAGCGGCTCGAGCTTTGGAGGTTCGCTTTCTACATGTTCCTGCACGCTGGGTGAGTCTCATGATTTTTTTTTATCAACACTAGATTGGTATTCGCGTCGTAAATACGTTTTGCGCGTATTCTCGTTTCTTTTTTCCATCTCTCATGATTCAGCCGCGTGCGTAATTGCAAGCGCGTCTCTCGTGAATATACGACACGTATTTAACGGATATTTGTGGCGTCAGCTCTCGAATAATAATCCGATCTCTCGATCGGATCTCTCAATGTCGCGGTATCCTCGTGCCCCGCTATCCGACAGAACGCGCCGGCAATTTGATTCTCTCTTTGCTTCGTGACATGCAAGTGCATCGTTAATTTTCTCTACCATCACAGAGAGAAATGTAATTCGTGCACCACGCTTGCTTTTATATCACGTATTGATGCGCCTTTATGTAACATCCCAAACCAACGTTTTTCGCACTAATGGATACAAAAGCAAATCTGCGTCAGTGCATATTCAAGTTATCGAGGATGTCGCAGGCAAAATTCACGGCTAGAAAAATACGAGAGAGAGAGAGAGAGCGCCGAAAGCAAGTCGATAAAACTTTCACGGAACTTTGGAGCGACGTGAAGAACACATTTTTCATATCACCCGAAAATTGCATTCATCGAACAGTCTTGGTTCCCGATTATCACGAATAAAAAGTCTATCGCGTATAGATACAGGTTCCATTATTTTTTGAACGCGTTATTGCTATTATGTCGGCGATGAATAACAAAACTAAATTTAAGCGTCTCGACAATTCGATCATCATTCGTTTTTGTGATATTGCATTGCGATACTATCATATCACACGTCGCAGTAATGCGATAATATTGAGAGAAAAAAGAGAGTTTCCGAGACTGCGAAATCGATGGCGTTGCAACGCGACGCGAATTATTACGATTACGGCAGCTCGAAAAAGAGCTCGAGATAAACCACGTCCCCGGCCGTGCTTTTCGCTCCTTTTTTCATCTCTTCTTTCACCGGACTTGCAGAATCAACGTACCGTACACGTTTCGTGCGTGCGCTGCGAATTTAGTTCAGCACAATTTTACTGTTCAAAAAGATATGCAGTATATTTTTTTACGTTTTGTCAACAATAGTGAACATAGGTCGAAATCTGGGTTTAGCAGAATACCTAGGAGAAACAATGTAAGCTCGAAGAAAAATATAAAGAAAAATAAATAGGAAACGAAAAGTATATATTATAAATATATAGTAAAATAATAGATGAAATAAAATATATATTCCCTGAAAGTCTTGAAATAAGAAACTTTTCTCTATATATAGGTATATTTAAAATATCGGATCGCTATTATGCATGTTGGAGATAAGATCTTTGAAGCGAATAATTAGATGAAGAAAATTTAATATATAAGGAGATTAATTGATAGATTTATCCCGCGTTACCTAAATCCCCTTTTCTCCCTTTTAGACAATTTATAATTGCGAGGGACATACCACAGAATTCTCGCACGAGAAAACCTGTCGGAACGAAACAGATGAGACTTTGCGCACCTGCGATCAGCCACCTGCGTCCATCACGGGCGTTAGATATTAAGCTACTCGATTATAGCCAATTAATTATAGCCAATTTCGATCCTTATGACCGCGTATCGTGTTGTCGCACCTTTGCTTGACATCACATCGATTCGATTCGAGCAGCACTACACACAGGACACAAAATTGTATAAGCTTTCCGGCACGCGTCACTCTCCCGCGGACAAGTGGGAGCGCGGAGAGAAGGTGGCGGTTTTCTTCGTTCGCAGTTATTTTTCCATCGTACCTTTCGCTCTCATTTTTTTCTCTTGCTCCCTTCAGTGGGTTTTGCCTTCTTCTCCTCTCTCTATCCCTCGAATGAATTTTTTGCTTTTTTTTTCTTCTATATCCCTGATATTTCTCTGGACGCATCAACATTTCTATGCCCACTCCCTTCTGCCATAAAAAGAAAGGAGATCGAGAAATGAGATCGTACGGCCGACTCTGTGTGCTTCGTCTCTCTCTCTCTTTCTCTATCGCCGACAGAGTAGAAGTTTTCAGCGCGAAGCTCTCTAAATTATTCATGGAAATGCCAGATAAGACGACCGTTTTCCGTACGTGCGTATGGAAACTGCGATAAAAGTGACCTCATCGCTGTTTTTTTTCTATAGAAAGCGTGCGTTCGTCCAATTTTCGTCTCCCTTCTTTTTCTCTCATTCTCTATCTTCTTCTATATTTTATTCTCTTTGGTCTTCTTCATTCCATTTCTGATATTAGGCTCTCCTTATCTAACGCATCGTTTTTTTTATTTTTTAATCCTATTTGCTTTTTGCACATTGCTGCAGTTAGAGTTTATCTTCACCTTATCTTTCCTTGTGCTGCTCTCGTTTAACTCTGTGAATCAGTACTATTAACATTTCTTTTATTAACCTTTTTCTTTTTTCTCATTTGATGGTACTAACCTTACTATTTATTATGAATCCTTTCATTATATGTAATTTGCCCGGGCTGCACAGTCTTTTGATGCTGGCTAGTAGTTAATACCTTGCTAGTACTGCACCGTTACATCATTTTTACTGTTACAGTATTGTTCAAGCGGAACTTCAGTCTCGGAGTGTAATATCCTTCGTTTCCACTTCTCCCCTTCTCTTTTCTTTAAACTTTCTTCTACGATGCGCTGCGTCTTTGTCTTTCTTTTTACCGGTTACCGCTTTCGTCGATTCGCGCTCTCGCGGCTGTTGGATTATTAATGCGAGTAACGCCCCGCGCGCGTCCATCAAAAGTCATTTCTCCGTGCATTACGTGATCCCGAAAGAGTTCAAAAGTGGTAAGATACGTGGTAACGCGCGCGGTAAGTCAAAGATAAATTTCGTGGAAACTGATGAATTCGTTCGAAGGACGGATCTCCGGGGAAGATGCTCTAGACGCGTATGGGTAGATACGTTTTAAAATTGCATCTCGAGCAATCTCGAGTATATTGCGACAAGGAACAAGGATAATAATAAAGCAATGGTAGTTTTATTTTTTTTTTTATTTGCGTTATCGATACATGTCAGTGACCCTCGGATCGGCTATGTATACGCGAGCATCACGTGTCGGTTACGCTAATTGGTATAAATCGGGGTTATGATAAGCGGTATAATGCATCAGCGGTGACACACGAGCTGCCAGAAGAGACCAAAAGCGCGATCCATAATCGACGCGTAAAAAGCCTGACGCTTTAGTCGGGCGACAGGCGATTAATTATAAAAACAAGATGGCCCGCGCTATCGAGCGCCTTTTTCCGTCTCCGCGTAACGCCCGTTACCTCCGCCAAAGACGTTATCGAGCTTCCTCCGTTATTAATGTGAAAACTGTCTTTGCCGTCATGCTCCGAAGTCGCGTCTCCGTCCTGTTTCTCCGTCTCCTTTTCTCCTTCTCTCTCCATGTTCGCGCGCGGTGCGGCCCGTGAGAAAGCCGGAAGCGCGGAAAAATCGAGACAATCGCCGTAATTGCGGGAAGTCAACGCGCACTGCAGCGTTGTCGGAGCGAACACAATGGTATCGCCGAGTCCGCAAAATACAAGCCACATCGAAAGGATCGCGTCGCTCGAGACAGGACACGCTTCCGTATTTCGTCGCCCGTGGTACCAGCGATTCGCGCGAATCAAGCTTGAATTCACGAGGACGCTTTGTTGCGTCCGAATCGCCGCTGGACACGCGCGTCCGTACCCAAAAAACGCAAGAATCTAGCGATGAAGCATTTTTATTTTCTACATTCTACAATGAATAGCAGTCGACGCTGTCGTAAACGGATACTATCGATAACATAATTGTATTGATATGCAAGGCATTAAATTTTAACTCGTGAATACAGCCATATGAGAAAAAGAGCGTTTGCATTTTAATTAAAAGATTTTAATTAAAAGATAATTTAAATTATATATTATGTCATTTATTTATATACTTATTAAATTTAATTAATTTATAGAATTATGGAAACTTTTCTGTCTCTCTCTCTCTCTCTCTCTCTCTCTCTCTCTCTCTCTCTCTCTCTCACTTTTTCACTTTCTCACTTTCTCGTTTTTTTCTTGACATTCACAGAGAAAAAAATTGAATAGTATCCACATTTTATTAAAAACGTACTAGATTCTTTATATAACAAAATTTACATACTGCTACTTAGCGATAATGAAACACGTAGACGTTAAGATAATGCGCCTTCTTCGTAAGAACGCTCGCGAACGTGGCATCTTTCGAGCTTCGTAAATCATGCCGAAGTTCCTCACCGTGAAGAAGGAGAAAAGAAGAATACGCCCGAATCTCTCTACTCGTAACTCAATTTAAATAACGATGTCCACCATCCCATCGCTTCTATATAAGCCCTCGTCACTCGCGCGCTGCCGATGCGGCATTATGCATGCGCGACGAGCGCGGCGACACACCATTATGCTGCGAGTCCTTTTAATGTCGCATAAATGCGCCGGGAGGCTGTGCTCCTTAATATCGCCGAGAGGCGATATTCCCTCTTGCCCCTCGTGCACGCGACGCGCGCCACGTGGATCGAAACTTTCGCCAGCCTGTTTTCCGCGAGAATGAAAATTCTTGTGGAAGATTGCCAAACAAATTACGCACGCAATTACATTCAATCTCTTTCCCAAGAGCGATCATTATGGAATTGCAATTACTTGTAATTAGATATTACAAAAGTTAATCGGTAATATAGGCAGCGAATATTTTGATAATGACGATTGATAATCCCGATAATTAGAATTTTGAAAAGATATCAAGTTTAAGAAATATTAAAAAAAAACCGATAATAAGGTACTTAATCTCGGAGATTCAATCCGCCAAACTCCCTTTACATTCGATCGCTTATATAATTCGAGAACTGTCAGCACCACGACAAGTTAAAGAGAGATTGACGCCGAATTGGTCAAAGAATCTGTCGATAGAATTAAGGTAGAGATTTCCCCGAGACAAACTCACCGACTGCTGAGGCATCACTGTCGACGGGTTCGGGTTCGTCCATGCCTTCGTCTTTCGTAAGTAAGAAGTTTTCGGCGCGTAATTAACTACTAGCAAGTAGTTAGAGGCGCTGACGGAACCACTTGCGCCCGTGGAACATTAGAGTCAACTTGCTTGGGAACTTTATCCCCTCGTTCTCGCTTCATACGAAGTTACCGGCACCGACTGTGTTCGATAATACTTTTGATCCGTTTACATGATCCCGCGGTTTTCCCCGCGAATTATCGCGAATTGTCGAATTAAACACAGCTGTCTGCTAGACATGTCAAAACGCTATCAGTCTTGTTGTTTTATTACTTCAAGTACTCCGTCATTGTTGCCTTAAATTTTAATTTCTTCCAGAATGATATAATTCTTTTTTCGGTCTTTGCGAATATGAAGTCGATTCTTTTCTTAATGAAAATTTCAAAGAATGTGCTTAATGAGAATTTAAACACTTGGACCTCTCTTACAAGCATTTTTGTAGCAGTCTTATTTTGCTAGAAATTCTTACAATTCAAGTAAAATACATTTGGAATTAAATAACGCTGGTAAAAAGAACTTTAAACTGATTATACTTCATCCTCAGAGTGACTATTCACTATTTTGGGGATTGGCAATCTAAGATATCGATCGCATTGTGATTCATCGTAAGTACGCAATCGTCGGAATTGGAAGCCCGTCGTCAGTCCTTCTCCCTACCCAGACGACACGACGAAAACGATAAAACGAATAGATATCCGTCGTAGGAGGCCGGTTACCGTCATTCGTATTCGTCGAAATGGAAATTCGGTCCTCGAACGACACTGCCTCTTCCTGTCGTGGACCCGAAACAGATGGCTAAGGAAAAAGCTGGGCGGATAGGGGAATATATTCGCGCGAAAATCGAGAAATTCGTCGTAATTCGTCCGCCATTCGCAATGCCCGAGAATTCATCTAATTGGTATCCAATTAACTGAAATTGGCGCGGTCGGTCTGAGAACCTTATCGTGACTCGAATGTCTTGAGAGCAGATTTTGCTGATTGCGAGAGAAGTACGGGCCATTGTTCAATGGCAGACGCTGTTATATTTTATCGAACACGTCGCTTGGGTATGCATATATTGATTCTATTAAAGCATTAATTTATATGGTTGATGCCGTTCTTCTGTGAATATCCATTATGTAATGACTAATGGCCATTAATGATGGTCTGTGTGTGCGAAGATATATAGCTTATTAATTTTATAAAATTACTGGCAATCGTATAAAATTATTGGTTACATTGATTATGAGAAATTCATATTTTTCTTATTACAGTATAATTTTACAAAAGCATGCACCGATTAATCATAAATTTTATCTCGAATTGACAACAAATTGTCAGAAGTTTCTGACTTTTTTGTTTATCGGGCATGCAAAGTGGAAATGAATATTTAGAGCAAACTTACGACAGTCCGTATGAAAAATTGAAAAAGACCATCGTGCAAAGGTCCAGTCGAAGTTCCATTGGCGGATAGCATCGACGGCAAAGCCCGTCGAAAATTTATGAACCGCCCTCCCACATTCGGGCGCCACACGACACCTCCTTACGCGCGTGTTCCATTCCGATGATTGCATTCTGAAAACGTATCGGCGTCTATACATCACGTCTGTCCCGCCGCGGCGGCGACCTCCGGTTTTCCGCCCTCGCGATCGGGGCATCGCCCATTTGCATTCGCGCGGCAACGAGGTGGCAAGAAACCCGTTGGAATTCCGAGCGTCGATTTAATTCTGACCTAATCACGATTGCCTCGCTTACGCCCTCCCCCCCCTCTTTCTCTTCTCTAGATCGACTTCGTTTCTTGGTAATGGCGACGACCGCAGAGGTTCCCAAGATCGTGGCATCCATTTCTGTCGATGAGGTCCGATGGTGACCGGCGACGCGCTCGCGAACGACGCTCGAGCGTTTCAACGATCGCATTCTTTCCGTTTGACCGCATTGCGACAGGGCGCACGACGACTATTAGACTCGTACTCGATGCAAATTGGTCGCTTCCTAGGCGCACGTCGCGGCTACGGGACTACGGTATACGCAGGCTAATTGCGGCCAACAGTGCCCTGGTGCAAAGCGACTTCTACGAAATCGTTTCTTCCTCTCTTTTGAATCAAGTCTCGTTTCATGAAGAAAAATCCAATGAACGCAAGAAATTCACGTCACCGATTTAATGGATACGTGTTTAAATTAAGAAAGTATACCAGGATCTATCACAGATTGAATAAAGTTCCCGCTTTATCAATGTCCAATTTTTTAAATAAGCTTTTCTTGTTCCATTTTTTATACGATGTATTGAAATATTAAATGATCAAAGACAAAAGAGAAAACAATGAGAGAATCTTATATAAGTTAGAAATTAAGAAAGCTAAAATGGTTTTATAAGAATATTTTATAAATTATTTATAAAATATTCTTGTAAACTATGAGTTTATAAGAAATATAACTTATTCTCTTTATATAATTGCATAAGACTAAAAAAAAATGAAATGATTCTTATAGGGGAATGAAATATCTCTTAAGAAAAAGTAACGTTCTCCTTTAAACTAGAATCAAGTTCTTTATTATGATGTAATCAAGTACTGTTGTATTACAGTAGAATTATTTGTACTATAATAAGAGATAATAGTGCAGCATTTGTCGCGCGCGCTCTCACGACAACCTAGATCTCGCGTTTGTGTCAACTGAAATCGCTCTCCGAGATTTTCCACGCTCTCGAGCATGCGACACGATAGATAAGAAAACGATCCTTTCTCTGAGCTTAGAAAGTTTCTCCTCTTACTGCGAGATAATATTCATAATTGCTCTACAGTCTCTTTTTTGCGGAGTTTTCTTTCATGCCGATAACCATGGCTGGTCGGTCGAATTCTCTGAGGATCAACGTCTCGATCGTATCATCCTCCTTATCGCTCGCGTTTGCTTCTGTTTCAACCGTTTCGCTGCCGAATTCGCCCGAAATCCCTTCGGTTTCGGTTCTAATCTCGATTCAACCGACGCCGAGATACCTCGTGGCGCAAACGTTTATTTCCCTGCGTTTTATTCGCATTTCACGGTATTTTATGAAATTGCGAAACCACACCATTTCCTGCGAGATTTATTGTTGCCTCTTACTGACGTCGCGTCCGCGCTCGCGCGCCTCGGCGAGATGTAATAATTAGTCGGCCGAAGTTTCGCGATAACGACCGGGCCGGGTATCGGATTTTCGTGCTTCTGGCGGCCCAGAAGTCGCTGATAAAACTTTCCTCCGACCGCGGTTGGTATCTCGCAATTATTTCACTCCGTTCTCCGTAACCTTCTCGGCGGCACTCTTGTCGAAACGACGCCGCGAGCGAATAAGAATATTGTTTGGCCGCGATCCACTCCTTCCCTTGCCGCTCGAAGTAGAGAGGCACAATTACCGTAATTCTCTTGGCCGCACCGATAGTCACGAACCGCCTTCGCGGAATTCATCGCGAATCGCACTTCATCGCATTTTCGACTTTTCCCTTCAGCGCGGCGTTATAATGGCCGTTATATGGCCGGTTCCGTCGTCGAGTCTTATCTACCGCGGCGAGGGAAACATTGCTAACGAGATGTTCCTAATTAAAACTATAGCCAACTGCCCGCGGCGTTATAATTCACGATTAACGACAACCTCTCCTTTCTTGGACTACTGATGGATCTACATCACGAACTTCCCAGATCTTCAGCAGCTGAAGTTGTATCGACGTGTTAACTTGGGTTCCGCGGTTAAAACTTTGCGACAGTGAAAGAGAGAATTTATATCTAATTTATTCTATAATACAGTAATCGCAATATCGATCGCGACACTTCACTAATATAATAAATAATTATTAATTTTTAAATAATTTTACAATAATTATTAAATAGTAGGTGGACTTTTATTTTTAACGATTTTTATAATAATTATTGCATTAATATTTGAAAGAAAATATTCCAATATTGTATCTACTGTAGCATCCACGCAGTTGCTGCGATTGATCCTGCAATAATGGAGTACGCCATAGAGACGTATTTCAGAAGTTGCTTGCATGCAAATTGTGCCGTAATTGAATTAAATTCCTGGTGCATCTCGTGCTCCAACAGAACAATTGACATGCCTTAGTAATTTACCGCGCGGTTACATTTTTTTCAGGTGGCTTCACCTGCTGTTTAACCTGGGGGTACAGGTGGTCGTGGGACTTCCCTTGGAAATGGTTCACGGAAGCCTGAGGATCGCCGCGGTTTACATGGCCGGGGTTCTTGCCGGTGAGTAATGTCGTCTGCAATGTGAATTATGTTATGGTGCATCTACGATTTATGCATCTACATTAATGCTTGTTTAACCTCCGCCGTGCATCAAGTTAGATAAAACAAAATTTTGGCTTGAAACAACTATTAAATTCAAAAACTGTCTACTATTTATTTTAAAAATCTATTTCGAAAAAGTTATGCAAACTTTACAATTTTTTCGTACAAAAATATTTTATTGTTTAAATATTATAATTTTATCTGATTAATTATCGCGTTTTTTAATGAAATAGGTTAAAAAGATTTTATAATAGAACACAATGCGTATTTGGTGTTATATTTGTAATTTCTTAATTATTTAATTTATTTTTATTTTATGTACTACGATGGTTAGTCGGATAATAGTGCAATCTGTTCTCTTTCTCTCTGTTTCCCTCTTGTAGTACTAAATTTTCCTCTACCGGATGTGTTTTTGTGTGCAATTTGAGAATTGCCGGAATTGTAAATCCGGTATACATATAAATACAAGCCGGATGTATATCACGAAACGCAAACACCATAACTGAAATCCAAAACGTCCAAGATATACAGGGTGCTAATTACCCGAACATATGCTCCCTGCTATAACAAGGCGTTTTAATTAAAATGTTAATGTTAATATAAGTACGCTGACAGCTGGACTAATGAAACGGCTTTTCATTCGTAATTTTGTGCATTTTCCAAATAATTGTAAGCTGATGTCTCGAATGTCTTTATCGGTGACAAGCTGAATTTTTTTACAATTTATTGTATTGAGAAGAGAACGAGACAAATTTTTACCTAACATTGCCTTTGTTATATAATGTATTATTTAAGAATTTTAAGCGGTAATACTGCTACTTCTACATTATTGCATTGTTCCCTTTCTAACCAATTTCTGTGCGAAACATTTTTGCATATTTATCGAGACAACAAAGGCGACCGAGTAATTCCGGTAAATTGTTCTATCCCGTGTATATGTATATGTATACATATATATATTATATATACGAAATGTGTATACCAGGAAACACGTGCAGGTAAACGTATCTGTATACATCTGATTGTCATTTGCATAAATTCGATTAGACGCAGATCCCAAGTTATTAGCGGTCATGAAAGTAAAACGTGGCAAAATGGAGCGCATGAATAATTAACTCCACAGCCGGACGGGAGACAAAGAGGATTCAGGAATTAAATAGAAGAACGAAGGTATAGGAATTTCAGAGTAGCGACGATGTTACTATTAGTGAATTTGCAATAATGGACGGTGAATGTTTTTTTTTTTTTTAATACATTTATACATTTATACGTTATTACAGTACACGGTACAAGGTGCTCAGAAAATTGTGCGTTGCAAGTGCAAAGCGATGTAAATGCTATAAAGGTAATCTTGAAAATGAAACTCAAAAGAGAAATATCGCGTAGTAAAAAGGTATATTGCAATCATAAATATAAAAGTGAAAAAAAAAAGTTAAACGATATACTGAAAGTAGATGTAATAAATTGTTTACGCACTACAAAAAAAAGCACCGAAGACTGCAAAAGTGGGGAAGGATGTTCCCTCGTGGTTTTCACGCCGCTACAATTTACGACAGGAGGCATCAAGCTCTTCTGAATGTTATCGACTGCCATCTCCGCCTCTCTGTCGTTTTCATATCTCGTGAAATTTCCCGATTGCGCACTTCCGATTGTCTTTGTCTAACCGTTTTCGCGCGTTCGAGCGGAGCGGCGGCGTATCTCCATCTCTGTTCGTCTAAAGTCACCCGCAAGAATGCGTCGCGGCGACAGCTTGTCTGGGCCCACCGCGACGAGATTACTTCGTATGCATCGCGGTCGCGACGATGTAATGCGATTGCAACGACGCAAGTGCAACGGCACCAACATTCCTCGTCCCTCCTCCCTTTCATTCGCGGCAGCACTCCACCTTCGCGCGCCTTGCATCGCCCGCTCTTCTTCCTTCGACCAGCCGACTCTTTAACATTAATCGAATTGTGGCGACAGACACATACCCAATTAATTTTGGACGGAAAATATTCTTTTTTCTGTAACAGTGTAAAAAGGAATAAGTATATGCATATCTCTCGCAAATGTCGTTATTTTAAATATTTGTTTAAATTAATCAATTATGAAAATGACAAAGAATACATAAGAAATTAATTTGTATTTACATCAATTTTTATTGAAACTTATTGTTAAATAAAAAATAATATTTATGTTCATATTATTTGGAATTCAAGATATTTATTTTTATTTTTATCCAAGAGGTAATATAATCGACCATTCGTTATGTAGATATTGTTACAATTATGTGAGTTACATTTAAATACATTTCATTGTTATAAAATAGCGAAAGTATACGTGCTGTATCACGTACACCAATTAATATTACGCGATATATTGAAGAAAAAAAAAGGAAAAAATCGCTGAAATGTAATCATCAAACTAATAAAGCATGTAAATCAACGTTTTAAATTATGCGGTTGGTGTACCACGTGAGAGTAAATTATCCTCAGTGCGGCGTGAAACTAGGGGTAGCTTATAAATGTACTTCTCCGGAGTAGCGCGGATTAATATCGTTTACGACATCGTCGCGCTTATTGCTGGCTGTACTCCCTGTCCTCTCTATTGCTCGACCGTTTCCACTTGGAAATTTGGACGTCGGAGCGAATAGCACTGCGAGGTAGAGATTTGCCGTCGTATGAAATTTATAGAATAAACGATTTATAATAACGACGTATATAAGTGATCTGTATTGATAAAAAAAGTATACACTATATATATTTATGTTATAGAAACTTTATTTTATGATGCTGAGAATGAGAATAGATAATCTGAACATTAGAATTGGGCGTTTATATAGTATATCTCGAGGTTAAATATGAACACTCAAGTATGAAGTACTTAATTATGAACAACATTTTTTCTATTTTGATTTTTTAATTATGTGAAATCAGACATATAACTGTTAGATTTCTTTATCTAAATTAAAATTTCTTGAATATATCAAAAGGCCACGTTGTGTATCTGAATAATAATACATATTTAGCTATGTCGTTAAACAATTAACAAATTACTAACGGCATCTGGAAAGATTAAACTCGCAAAACAATGAACGAACAATATCGTCAATTTACCGAGTAACGCGATTTGTTTATTCTTATTAATTCCGTCTCGTCAATTTCGTGCGACATGCTCGCCGTTCTGTTCGCGAGCTTCTCTTTCTATCATTAACGAACGTTTCCCGATATACAGTTTTTTGCTGGGGAACGGATAGGGCTTCGTGTCAAAGCGCCGTCGTCATCGTCGTCATCATCGTCGTCATCGTCGTCATCGTCGTCATCGTCGTCATCGTCGTCATCGTCGTCGTTGTTGTCGCCGTCGCCGTCGCCATCGTCGTAGTCATCCCGGCGCTGTCGAGTCGATTGCGTGACACCAGCAATTATACGACGGTATTTGCATGTCGTACGACGCGCCTCGTCGTTCGTATGCATGACTGCGTGTGCCCAGTCCCCGGTGCATTAACTCGACTCGAAGATAGCCGACGTCGACAACGACGATAGTGCACCCGAGCCTCCGAGAATCAATATTTCAAGTTTTCTTTTTTCTTTTCTTTTCTTTTTTTTTCGCGCGCCCTTAACTTTTCTTTCAGCACGAGACCGCGTTGTCCAGACTCATTAGAGTCTCTAGCCACTTATTTCTTTCGATCATCCCGGAAACAAGGGGAGCTTGATGATGACCGAGAGAAACTTTAAATTGGGCGACGAAACGCTACGCGAACGTCAAGTCTAAGGGAAAAACTTGTCCAGTTATCGTTATTATCGATAATAATTTTATTTGTCTTTTTCTTGTATTTTTTTTTTTTTTGTATCATTGTTAAGCATGCGTGTTTTATATATTTCTGTATCGTTTATACATATATATCTTTATCGTTTTTGTTTTCAAAATAGACATAACTTTAACAGCCAATTTTGCCGATATCGGCGAATTGCAATTTACCCCATTTCGGGTACGATGTGCGCGATACGTGGTTTCCCGAAGTCTGGCTATGTCGCGCTAAACTCGCGAAAGAGTGCAACGGCCAGTTTCAGCGGAAATAAAAAAAATGAATGGAGGACACGAGGGGGTGATGGCAGTAAAAGCCGTTTACACTACATTTTAATCGCGAGGAATCCGAACGCGCTTTATATACAGCCATTGATGTACGGTTCCGCTCTTCTTGCTTGCCACCTTTTTGTGTATGCGTGCAAATACATCTATATGTGTGTATGCGCGCGTATGTCTGCGTATGCATATATATGGGCGCCACTATGTGTTTTTCTCTACCCCTCCGCCCGTTTTAATATTTTCAGCGCAAAAACCCCGGCGGACACAGCCTGCCGCCATTGCGTCAAAGGGATATTAAAACAACGGGACGAAATGCGGGATGTACAAAATGTTGATACTGGGCGAACTCCTCGCTTTCGATCTGAAATTTTGCGTGTCGATGATCGCGCTCAGGATGCCGAAAATTTCGCAAAAATGCGCATGTGTGAGAGAGAAAGAGGCAGAGAGGGAGAGAGAGAAACAGAGAGTTGCTGGGTGCGAATAGTGGACGCGCTCTGGAAATTTTAGCATTTTTGAATCACCGCTCTCCACGAGATTGAATGCTCGCAAACGTGAATTTTTTATTTTTGAGAACCGATGCGGCTATCGTGGTGGATATAACTCCATAGAGACGTTAATCGCGTTGGATCCGAAAGAATGATTTCGAGCTGCTGCTATATACATCTACTATATTAAATTGAAAATTATAATCATGTAGGAATAATCCAATATAGAAATGGGAAACTATAAGAACTTTGACACAACAAGAACATTACAAATTGCCATATTTTCAAATTTATTTCGTTGTTAAAAATGGTTCATATATTAAAGTCAGTAATATTATAAAGGGCTGTGATGTAATAACTCTTGTTTAATATTAAAATGCTATTATATTTATATTACACGTATATTTC